ATGGCGGACCTTCGTGGTATTACGTCATCACCCCATTTAATTTTTGCATCCATTCTTGCAGAGCTTGTTCTTCCGGACTAGACCAGTCAGGGAAGGGGGGCGCTGCAATGCTTATCTTCTTGCCCCCCACCCTCCCTACCTCCCTAATAGAGAATCGTGCGCAAGCCTACGCTGAATGATGCTCTCACGGCGTGGCCCGGAGTCGGCACATGCAAAAAGATAAGTGCTCGAACTCGACAGCATCGAGGGAAAGAGAAACGAAGCCTCTCGTTCAGTAAAGGCAGGAGGCTTGCTGCACGGATATGTACGTTACAATGGCTGACAGGGAGTTATGAATTTATAAGGTGCGAGGATCACAACGAACGAAAGGGGACCGCTGCTCTCCCTTTACAGCTGCTCTCTCCATAGTCGCAATGAACTACGGAGGCAGCTTACGAAATCAGTTGGTATATTATGCTACAGGGCCCTAACTAGTACACACGGTAAAACGTTCGCAATAAGCGTTGTTTTTTTTTTCGGGTATGTGTGCCCTATAGCTGCGAAGAGTGCCTTATCGATTGTGACGAGCTCCATCGTGACGACCGATACCTGTTTCAGCCAGCGCAGGCCGTAGAGAAGACATGTGCAAGAGAAAGAAATGCCGCATCTGTATACGTTTTAAGTGGCCGTAACTATTCGAAATGCAAGTTTGCACTACAACTTAAGGCGCGTTTACACTAGAGAGACACGACACCAATTTTGGTCTGCGGACTGTCTTCGGGAGTGTCTTGTCTCTTGTCGTCGGCCTATGTACACTTCAAAGACATAAAACAGTCCGCTGGTGGTCTCTCGAAGACCCCGCTAGGGCCTTGCCATGCTCACAGTCTTTCGTTGGCCAATGCTGTAGTCACATTGGAAGTACACGCAGCGACACCAACTAAACTTGCACACCTGCACCTCATTTTCAGCCATGCTCCCTGCTCTGCCATTGTTTCTCTCCGGCTACGCGGCGTAGCCTCCACCATAATTCATGGTGACAAGGGTGGTGGACACAATCGGGAAGCGAAAACTTCCGTTGGGTGCTCGAGCTCCCCATTCAGGCGCCGCGGAAACCTCGGAGAGGGCATCGTTAACTCCCCCAAGATTTCCCGCTTTGTGGTCGTCTGAAGCAAAGACATGAAACAAATTTTCGCTCAGCCGCGGATCTCCCGAAGACACAACAACGACAGGTCTGCGGATGTGTTTTGCTGGTGTTTTTGGTCTGCCATCATGTTACACTATGGTGAAATGGTGTCTTGAGGCGTTGTCGTCATCGTGGGCCTAGTGTGACCATGGGGTCTGGCGACTTCATCAACGGGCGACTCGTCGGCCAATGGTTTGCGTCTACATCGGTGTCTTCATCGGGGTCATGTCAGTGTCGTGTCTCTAGTGTGAACACGCCTTCATACAAGCAGACTCAAATATCTTGAAGAGGTACGTCACAAACACGGTTGAGCATCACTACTCGATTTTTGCGGTTACAATGTGTAAACTTTTTCCTTTCAAAGTCAGCCATGTTAGTGCCTGCTTCTAAGTCTTAGTCATATTAGTGCCTGCAAATACATTTTTTTTTATCTTTTGAGCCAATCAAAGTGTTCTTAATTTTACACCTGCATGGCTCACGCATTTTTCATCCACTGAATAAAAGCATTTATGACGCAATGAATGTATTAGCCTTGCAGTTGGGTGAAAACCATGCACTTTTTTTTTAATTCACATTAGGATGCGCTCGAATCTGTCGAGCTTCCTATGTCTATAAGCAATCATCGCCTCACACAAAGCTGTCGCATCGGTAACTCCCCTTGGACGAGTTCCCGCATCCGAAAGCGATCCGCCTATAAGCACATCTCGCCTTATCTCGATAATGCAATACGTGCTCTGCACACCTTTGTGACCTGCGGTCACTATCGCACGAGCCACTGCAGGCGCCCGCCAAATCGTCGATCCCTGCAGGGGTCGCGGAAAAAAAAAATTCCGAGAGATTTCACGTGACGTCGCCGTCGGCCAGGTGAACAATGACAAAGTCGCGTCAGATAACGTTATCCCCGCAATCACAGCTTAGAACTAACAGAGCTATCGGGTTTCTGCGGTGCCTTGACGAAAAGAATTGTACTGGCGATGCAGCTAGACAGTTGGTAATCTGGCAAAAACTTGTGAGCGCCGGAACTTCGCATTGTCATCATCAATGTTAGTTAGGCTTTTAAATCACGTATATGTATTTTTTCAAACTAGGAGCTCATATTATAGACAAAATTTCCAGGAAATGGCTAGGCTTTCCAGGACTACTTTCTATATTATCAAACCGTAAAGGGGGAGGGGGTCAACTATTTTTTATGTATGCGTGTATACGACGTATGTGCGTATATGCATGCGCATATGTGCACGTGTATTAAACGCATGTCAAATTGAAAGATCAAAGTAATCGGGGCCAATCGCGATGTGACCTGGAATACTGCTTAATTTTGACCTCCTTAAAAACAGCGTCCTTAGTGTGCCAAGTACCTGGCACGTACCAGGGTTGTCATTCGTGGTTTTGCAAGCACACGTTGCTGCAGCTGTTACGACAAGCCACTGTTCAAGGCCTATTCTTTGCAACGGAAGAGCTGGCCTCGGATGAGAGCTGGAGGGGTCAAAAGGACCAAGTGCTAGAACCGTGGGTCAACGTTCGAGCATGCGGAGATGAGATGATGTCGAAATGAGTGTGAATGAGTCCCAGCGAATTGAAGCTTGCGAGTTAAAACTTAATTACGGTACTTAAATAGTTGTTTATTAAAGACACTGCGTGCAAGAGCGGACAAAATCACGTAGAGATACGAAACGCAAATCGCCAGACGCACAAATAGAGGGCTTGACGATTGTGAGTGATTCTACATGCACAAGCGCTGTCGTTTGCAGGTCTAATCGATATGAATTGACTAAAGGATAATTGACGTAAATTAAATGAAGTCTGTAGATATTACGTGTCATTAGATACCAATAATCATACAGTAAACTCTGATGGCACCTTCTTGAGGTTCGTTACTCGATGGTTTAGAGTACGCCAGTTAAATACTGTTATATTATACACGAATCTGTGCAATCGAAGCCGGTCACCCGCGCCAGCCGCCAATCCTGACGGCATGATATAGACCAACATTACTCAACTAGAGAATTTGCAAATAAAAGCAGTCATTTTCTCCATATGACTCACCCACTGAAATAATCCAGGCTAACAACATTCCATACCTTGCACTGAGACGGAAAGCTCTACGTTTAGAATTTCTTTACCTCCTTTGGTAATCGAAAACTGGCAATTAACCCCTCACCCTATCTTTCTCTTTCATCATCTACATCAAGGCTTACTCGCCACCATCATCCTAATTCTTTGACACCTTATTTTACGAGAACAGATTTATTCAAATTTTCTTTTTTTCTACGCACCACAACAGACGAATGATTCATTGTAGCATTTAATCACATTGGGATCATTGCTGATTGTATTGACTACATTTGTGTTTGCTTCGTTTTGTTGTTTCTTTTTGTTCTCCCACCCTGCTTGAACCTGTACAAAGTTTGCAGTTTTGAATAAAGAAGAATAAGGCAAGCGTTATTACTAGAGGCTGGTCAGATTAATACAGTTCTTTGGGAACCTCATTGAATTCATGCATGCTGGCTGTATCAGTAGAGAACCTCTTTAACTTGAAGAATGGGCGGCTCTCACGTGAACTAATGAGCAGAGGTGCTATGCTGATGGAATCTGCTTTGAAACGGACACTGACTAATGTGGGTCACTCGAATGTATCGTACAGAAAATAACGTGAATTGGCGGAGTTCCAGAATTTCCAGTAATATGTGCGTGCACCGAACATAGAAATGTGTTGTCAACTTGGTTGCCCACAGCCACACGAACTAGCTCCGTCTAAGAAAAATTCCAATGAATGGGCTACAAACAATGCTACTGACTGCATTCGCATCTTCTTAGAGTATTCTCAAAATTTAATACTGCTTCAATAAACAGGGCAGTGATATAGTAATCTGAATATTAAAAAAAAACCAGTGCGCAGTCAATGAAACTGTCCAATTCCATTACAAAGGGAGGTTCTATAACGGCTTACACCACTCGGAAAGCGGAGGTAATAAGTCATAAAAAAATGTAGACGTCTACACGGCCTATTGCACACACAACATATTCCTTTCAATGGCTCCACCGAAGCTTTAACAATGGTTCCCACTAGCTTGTGCAGAGATAGCGCACGAGTGCTTGACGTCAAGCTGGACCGAGCAATCTCTCCTTCCCAAACGCAACACGTAGCGAAGGTTAGGTTGAACCTATTAAGCCTAGGGTGGATTGAAAATCGTCAGTACAAAACACTGAAAAGTACCAGACTTGACCAGCAAAGTAATTGGCAATGAGGCCAAAATGTTATCGTCGACAAGCAAACGCGTGCGAGTGAAGACGTATCAAGCGTGGAAAGAGTCGTCGATACACCTTGTAGCAACGCCTTCGAAGGAAGCCGTCTAAAAGATCATCTAGCAACGAGAAGCCAAAGAAAGCAAGAGGGCGACAGATAAGCGTGCACGTCTTCTGAGTGTGTCCGTACTTGCGCTTGAAAGACGCCGACACACAGTGGCGATAACACCACCACGCACGTGAGCATGGTGCAGGACGCACATCCTCAAACGTGATACGACACGAACGACGTGTATAGGAATACAGGTGTATGTTCACACGTGTGGACACTCTGGACACGTGGGCGGGTACATCTTGCCCTAAGAAAATGATGTAAGGAGGCTAGATACACAGCTTTCTGCGCCCAAGCACTTACAGTAGGAAAAGAAAACACTCGGTGAGCTAACCATCGAGGAGATGCCGGAGATCATGATGCGTGTTACATCAGGCAACAGATCCGCACGTCGATTTCCCGGCTACTTCGCCGACAACTCCGATGGAGAATGTGTGTTTCTCTGAAACGAAACCTGTACACGACACATGGGCAACTCACTTGGGCTCAGAGAGGTCTTCGGCGAGTCCCTTGGTACCGGCAACAGTGCCGTAGCCACCGTTTGAAGGACTGCGGTTCAGAAGCTTTGTCTTTTCGCTCATGGCTCCCTGAGGTTGTCAGTCTCGGACAAGCCGAGTTCGGGTGCGGGGAGCGACAACGGTGGCAGGTCGCGCACTTGGAAGTAATACGAGTACGGACGTTTCCCGGCTGATCTCCCGGCCGTACGTCACATCCACAGCGCGCCGCTTCTGCCGTCCACTGGGACGTCGCACTATCTGCGGCCGATAATGGCCGCCCTCCTCGCCGCACCAAACCGCCGCCCTATCGGCGGCTCGCATCTATCGGACAGATCGAGTGGCCGACAATCGAGGATGGGAAAACGTCTCGTGCCCCCGAACAGGGTGCTGCGCCCAGCGGTGGATCTGATGCGCATTTCTCCCGGGAATGTGGCATCAAGACATTGGCCGTAAGGGCACCCCGTGGCATTCAGGGAGGCAGACTGGATCGCGGCTGCCCGAAAACGTTCGTTCTTCGAGACGACCAAAGGTTCGTAAGCGGAAGAAAGAAAACGAGTGTTTAAATCGACGTCTCCTCGTGTTCTCCATGCATGACCACGGCATCACCACGCATCCTGAACTGGAACACTGGTGAATGGGACAGATCAGCACTGCAGTGCACGAGTACGTGGCAGGTAAGATTGGCATCCATCCAAATACGACTCTGAAATTCCACCCTGTCCCTAAGCATCTGATCAACTCTGATGGTATGCGTGACCGCCTCAGAAGGATGTTCGTTTTGGCCCTTCGGCTCAATTCACCAGGAAGACATTTTTCTTTCTAATTTTGACAGTGTCTTAGTGGAAGAACATGTGGCTTTACTTGACAGCTCCGTTTTCGATTTTCTTATAAAGAAATCGACGTATAGTCACGGATACAAGGAAACTCATACCCAACGTACAAAATCGGTTTATGTTCTACTCTGTGCCGTGTTTGCCGAAAGCTTACGCTCAGACTAATCCCCATTTCAAGGCGGCTATTTAACAAGCATATCTGTATTTCTTGTGAGATCTGATCCACCAGTGTTGGAAGCGTAGTGTTATGGCCACGCATGTCTTTGAAGATAATGCGGACAAGGACCTCAAAAATGTTCAATTAAAATCACTGAACTTCCACCTTTACCACCGCGAATAACAGAGGGGGGTAGGCAGATCATTATGAGAAGGACGTCATCGTTTTATTTTTTGCATTCACTGAAAAGCTCACTTGCGCTCGGACTCAATCAGGGGGGGGGGGGGGGGAGGGACTTGAATTTCCTACGCAGGTTTTGCTTGACATTAAATGTGCATAAATTGCTTGCATTGCCTCCTTAACTCCTTTCCCTGCGACGTTTGTAGAAGCTTTATGAGCTGTTTCAAGAACGACTAAACCAGCAGTTGATAGTTCGCGCTCTATTTGTCTCCATCGTTTTTCCTCTGTTCGTACTTGCGCACATATCTTACAATAATGCATGGATAAACTCGACAAACAAAAGTCTCCTTTGAGACTCCGCAAGAACTTCTAGAATTCGGAGCGGGAAAGAAAATGCTACCACACGAAAGGTACATCATACTGCATACTGTAGCGATGTCACCGTATCTACGCGGTAACAATGCGTTGTATCCCAGAAACTTGAATCCAGCAACAATATCGAATGCGCAATCTTGCCACTTCCGACCGATTTATACACCTGCCACACCACCTTCGATTATCTCAAAAGGCAGTCACATAAAATTTTACAACGCCGCGGAACTAAACGGTGTCCAAGATAGCATCGCTGGTGTATAGCTGCAATGTAACACCTACACCCAACAACCGGAACCAGCTGACAAATACCGATGGCTTAATGTCGGACAAACGCACGAACTGATAGAGGCACTCTCGACGTACTCGCACGCACTCTTTGGCTTGTGGTGTGTGACGAAGTACAAAGCAAACGAGACAGAAACCGCGGCCGAAAATCGTTGAAGTATACCGTGGTGCAGCTATAGCCCGACCAACGTGCCTTTATATCTGGTGAGGCGCATGGGTCCACGACAAAACTTTTGAGTGGACAGACGAAGGTGAAGTCGCGACGTTACAATCGCTGAATCAAAATATGTGCAGTCGCATTTTGCATACAGGCATCCAACGCGCAGCGGAAGGGCGATTTGAAATAGCCGCAGAATCGGGGTCATATACTGGAAATATATAGGGGAAAACAACTACACCACAATGGTAAAACCAACTTAACAGAAGCACTAAACTATTGAAACCTCAAGAAAGGAAGTACGGATAGCATTGCTTTATTGAAAAAGCTTTTGTTCACATTTGAATAATTAATGTTAATAACGGTTCTGTTGCCTTCATTAATGCCTACTCTGTCTATTGAAAGATATATGGAAATTTTGACCTTTTACTTTAAGTCAACGGTTAATGCCCGAGAAAACCCATGGTCTACGTTCAGAGATCAGGCATATGCATCGACTCGATGGTAGCTCCTGTTCTATGCGATGTTTTCTTTAGTCACGTGGTCAGAATGACAAAACATGACTTCGAACGGGAGGATATGAAAACCCTGCGTTACGTAAATGTTTTTCTCGTGATATTTATTCTTTTATTTATTTCTAAGTACCTCGCAGGCCCCATGGGGAGCATTGAGTAAGGAGACCATCACAAGATAAGAAAACAACGAAAGAAAGCAAATACATAAGTAAGAAAAGCTTATACAATTACGTGCTGGCAACGCGATGCAAGTAATATAATTAAGTGGCAAAGAATGCTAAGAATGCTAAAAAAATGAAAGTAAATGGTATCAATTGTCACAAAATGAGCGGTGCAATGGTCACGTAAAAAGAAGAAGAAATACACTTAGAAATGCACACAGCAGAAGCACACACAAAAACATCAAAGCACTGAAAACAGCCAAACAGTGCTAAAATTAAAAAAAAAAACAGCAACGATACGAAGAAACAGGCAGCGAAAAAAAACAAGAAAAACAATATCGTGGCAACACACAGCGTGACACAAGAGGAAGAAGAAAAAAGAAAAATTCGCATTACGTTTACAAAATAAAATGTAAAAATGAGGATGAGGCCTCTAGAGTTAGGAGTTCCTTAAGTCGTCTGTTTGTGTAACAGCGTTGTTAAGGAGTGAATTCCATTATCGAATAGCTCGTGGCAAGGATGATGAATTAAATGCGTCTGTGTTCGCATAAATGTGATTATAACTGAGGACGTTGTGAACACGTCATGAGGTGCAGGATGCGCGTATACCAATGGGAAGTTTGATTGTTTCACTTGATATCTGTGAAACAAGGACAAGAGGGCTATGACGTTTGAAGGGAAAGGTTGAGATTTATTTGCGCTATGGTTGACTGGTAGTTATAATCGCGGGAAATAAATCGACCAGCTCAATTTTGGGTAGCCTCTAGCATGCATATAAAGTACTCATGACAGGGAGACCATATGGGAGATGCAGATTTAAGCTGCGAACGTGCAAATGTTAAAAAAAAAAGTTTACGAATGTTAGATAGGCATTTATGTAAGTTGCGGTGAATGTGCCCAAGAAATCTGGAAGCGGTAGCGCATATGGTTGTGATATGAGAGGTGCAGGAAAGGCTTGGTGTAAGACTTACGCCTAGGTATTTGTATGATGAAGTCTGAGTCACTAGGGTTGTATTTGTGTAATACGAAAAGGTACGATTGAAAGTTCTACACGAGAATGTAATTATTTTACATTTCGATGAGTTGAGTCTTATTTGTCAGGCTTAACACCAATTCGTAACGATTTCAAGGTCAAGTTGTATGATCATCGGGGCTTCCATTTGGTCGATCAGTCATCTGCAAATACACGTATGTAGTATGAAATGTTATTAGAGAGATTATTGATGTAAATGAGAAAGTAACGGTCCTAGCACAGGTGAGAAATGTAAGTGATGGCGTATAATTATAAACGGTTGTGAACTGTTGCTAGTTATAAAGTTTCCGTGATCTTCATGCCACACGTGTTATGACCAATGTTCTCATTATTTTAAGGAGAGGGGACTGAATGAATATGCACGTATGAATACCCTCAAGTATATTTACTTCACTTTTTATTTGGTTTGCCCTTCGCTTCAGACCATATCTGCCGATTATCTCGCCTGGAACAAAGAAATCCTATTGAGTTTTTTTCGCTCATTCAATATTAATAAAGGATATATCCGCTAATTACATAAGTGCAGCCGTCATTAAGTCATGCTCCTAACAGGTTAAATGCAACTTCACAAAGAGGCGAATCGGCTCCGGGAAGCCGGGCTTCCAGGTGACGTTCTTGTCTATGCGTCTAGTAGAATTTCGCGCAGACTGAAAACAGAACTGGCTTGTAGTGTGCAGGTTGTTGAGCGGCAGAGAGTGACCAGTAAGTGTGTCATTGTTCCATATTTGCATGGCGTGTCACACCGCGCTTAAAGACTGCCGCAATATGGCGTGCGCGTTCTATTCTTTAAAAACTAAAACAAAATTGGTCAAGTTTGTGCAGACACTGAGAGAAAAGCAATGGGATATGGAGCAAAGCATGAACGTCAGAAAGACTTCGTTGGCTGGAAGTCGGGGATTGTGTACAGTAAAACGATTCTCGTGTGATGCTTTATATATTGCGCAAATTGAGCGCTGCATGAATGTTCGTCTAAGGAACATCACAGCTCTTTGGACGGCCAGCCTAACAAGCACTTGACTATCCCCCGTAAAGATTACAACGGTTCCTCATCGCTTTTTGAAGCGTCGCAGATTCCATTTGCGCACATGCCCCAACTGTCCATGATACTGGCAGAAGCTGTCATGATTAAAAGGGAGACTATAGCACGCCTATTATCCAGCCTTTGCTGCACCTACGCATACCTTCAGCAAAAACTTGTAATAACTTTCGGTATGCTGTATCTGATGTTAGCTTTGGTAATGAAATCTTCAGATTTTTGTTTTTAATGCAAGTAAAATTGTTTCATTTCGTCTCGTTCATAAATGTACACATGGTGCCATATTTTAGTTCATTCGTTGTGACGGTATTGCCAAAGCGGATTTCCTTTTCAATCACTGCTCGTCACATCAGGCAAAAATGCTGCACGGATCCCCAACGCCCCGCATGAAGAATCGCGCATGCCGCAATCAAACTTGGTAGCGAGATATTTCAGAGCACAGACATGCTAGAAAAACTATTCCAAATTTATCCTTGTAGAAACACGACTCCAACTTTTTTTAATGGGTAAACTGCCC